CTTCCCTTTGCAAGACTATAAAATCTGGCCTCCAATTTTCCCCCATTAATTGTTGTAAACTTTCCATAATCTTCACCAGTGGCTTTGCATGGATGTGGAGTGTGGAACTAAGATAACAAAGGCTTGTGTAGACAAGTAGCTCTTGAGAAAAATACATTTTGCACAGATTACTCAAAACAACATTTCAGAGAAGCTAAGAAAGCAGTCCTAAGTGTCCTCTTCACTATACCAACACTGACAAGCATAACTCAGGTTGCTTTATAAATAAAATACTATAGGACTGTGTTAAGGATACTGTGCCATACTTTGACAATAGCAGATTGCTTCCTCTGCAGCATAAGATGGTGGTAAAGAGAAGTGGAGGAAGAAGAAAGTCCTACTTCTCTGGGTACTACCTCTTGCTTCCCAGCCCTTCCCAACTACTTAACTGCACCAGAGGCTAGAATTCTCCTCCCTGCATCAGCACCACCTTCATACAAACAAGTAAAATAGCTGAGGGCTCTTCTGAGAAACAAAGGACTGAGGATTAGCATGGCCCTGATACTACCATAAAGCCTTGCTCAGATATTCAGTCCTCACATTGCAAAATAGTCAGACAAGATGATGAAACTTGAAGTAGTTCTCAATTTCCTCTGGTTTTGTTTCTAGGAAGCTCAGTTATAAGAAGAATCAGTTTCCATCTTGTTTTTACAGTCAATGAACAGGCTTCAGGGTGCCTCTTTGTATGCAAACAAGGGCCTTCTCCTCAGCAGGATCTACAAACTGCAGCCTCTATAGTGTAACTTTACCCAGAGGTGTAATAGCACCCCTTTCATGGCACAACAAAAGGTATTAGTACTACTATAATTTATTTATGAAGGCAGATTAGAAGCTAAGTTGGTTGCTTTTAAGGCCCTTGTGCACACGTCCACTCGACGATGTCATTGCTGCAGGCGTTCTGTTAATGCCATGTCCACATGGTGCAGAGTCAGCAGGAGCCCAGTTTGCCACTGGGAGCACAAGATGCTCTTTCCCCCCAGTTGAGTGGCAGCAAGAGGACAAGATAGCAACACTGCCCTACTCACAGGCCAATACCTCCACTCAGGACCTCTACAGAAGCCATGTCCCCTGTACATGTATGTCCCGTTCTCATGGTTTAGGCACATGTCCTGAACAGTCCACAGGATCCCAGCACACTCTGTGTGACCTGGGGTTGCACTTCAACAGCCAAGCAAGCTTGAACTGATTTGGGACGTACAAACCACTCTCCCACTGCCCAGCAAGCTGTGCAGCCATGTGCACATACGGCATGAATCCCAAGACAACCTGTTCCCTCTATGTGTTTGGCCAACTATACAACTACTACAGAAAAGCTGTGTGCACCCCTTGTGGTTGTTTGCTATGACTTAAGAGGAAGAAATAAGATGTATTCCCAACTCTTCCAATCCAGTCACAATCAGCATCTATGAGAACTGTGATGTATTCCACACTAAGTGCTTCCTACCTTGGTTCTCTGTCATTTAGAAGAAACTGAGGACAAAATGCTCCTAAATTATTTAAAAATAAAACCCAAGATTGATTGCTTGCCCAACCTTTGCTCTTATGCCAGCTTCCAAGCACACTTATGTTTGAAATTTTTATTGTTATCATCCTATTGAGGTTTGCAGTATTCAATTTCCTTATTAGGGTGCACTCTGTTGATTTCAGTATGAGGGAGTTGATTCAGGTTGTCATTTTACAAAAGGGGGAGTGGGTTAACATACTGTTGAACCCATCCATTAATATATATTTGAAGCCAAACTCATGGCAGAGAAGCAGCAGCCTGCACAGCTACCTGTGCTCAACTAGCACACCACAGCTACTCCATGCAGCCAGGTCATGGCATGAAGCTGCTGAAGGGTCTGGGGCACAAGTCTTATGAGGAGCAACTGAGGGAGAAAAGGAGGATCAGGGGAGACCTTATCATTCACTACAGCTACTTGAAAGGAGGCTGTGGTAAAGTGGGGGTCGCTCTCTTTTCCCAAGTACAAAGTGACAGGACAAGAGGAAACTGATCCAAACTGCATCCAGAAAGGTTTAGATTGGATATTTGGGAAACCTTCTTCATGGAAAGGGTTGTCAAACACTGAAACAGGTTGCCCAGGATCTGAGCCATCATCCTTAAAAGATGTGCAGATGTGGCTCTTAGGGACATGGTTTAGCAGTGGATTTGGCAGTGCTGAGCTGATAGTTGGACTCAATGATAAGGGTATTTTCCAACCTTAATGATTTCATGATTCTGTGAATACTTTAACTCAAGCTAGTCTGGTTTTATCCATGTGAACAAAGAAGCACCCCAACTCAAGCTGTACTACTCAAGTGAGGACAAGTCATTAATCACAACAGAACTTTAGCTTCCCATATACAGTATGATAATGAGAAGTGTGAGTATTACATTCTTATATTAGGAAGGAGATGGGAAGAAAAAGGGTGCAAGAAAATACCACTACTTGAAATACAAAAACCCGCAACTTGCCCAAAGAGCACAGCATCAAAGACAAAATAACTCTCCAATTTCATGGAGCCATTTATCTCTACCTTTGACATCAAATGGAAAACAACTGAACTTGCAGGATCTAAGGACAACTGCTGCTTTCATTTCATTTTTCAATTAAACCATGCCTGCTCTATTTCACTCTTTGGTTGACTTGGTGACTCAGGCTGTATCAGGCTCTCGAGGCAACATGATTCTTGTCACCACTGCCAAAGCACACACCTCTTTATATTCTCCAGTGCTGAACCTCACTGTCTCCAACTGTAGGCTGTGACTTTCATCAGACCCACACAAACCTGACATATTAGTCACCACATCAGTAGCCCCCAAAAACACATCCATTTTGATTAATTGGTCTTTAGTTCATTGAAATAGTTTTTCAAATTAACTATCATTTTCCCCTTTTTCAAATATCACTCAGATAATGGTGACTCATCAAATGCTAGCTTGCTCTGTTGCAAAGCTAAAATAAATTGCTTTAACCTAGACATACTTTGTTCTCAGCATGACTGGGCAAAAACCTCACAACACAATCTATTCCAGTGGCATCAACACTGAAGATAGATCAACAACCCTGAGTACAAACCCATCTGCCCCACCAAGGACAAGCACTCAGGATTACTCTCTGTTCCATGCTGTCCATTCCCTAGATCAGACTAGATTGAGCTAAACTGAAGGATTCAGCCTGAAGACTGTAGAATAGCTGGAATCTCTGCACTAAGTAGCCAAAAGCAAGAATGGGCCAGAAGACACTGCATGAAAAATAGTAATATATACCTGTATACAGCTGTACAGTATCTTCTACATGCCATGGCTTCAAACATATACTATGCTGCCAGGCAAAAGGTAAAAACCTGGCCAGATTCAATACCACTCTTTGTACATGCAAATGAATAGCACTTGCAAACTCAATACTTCAGGGACATACAGACAGCAAAAAAGAAATTTTTCAGAAAGAACATCTTCTCTCCATTACAGAAGTAATAAAACAGCATCCTAAATTTATTTGGGACTATTCACTCTGACACACTTGAAATTTAAGTCAAAAGTCTGCTTTAAAAATGTGCTTTGAATCATTACTTATCAGAGTCACTGATGAAAGATAAATAATCCCTAGTGGCCCTCAAATTGAGGCATGTGACAGATTTCTTCCTCACAGTTGATTTTGAATACTAACAATGTTTTTCCATTTCAGGCTCCTAACAGCAGAAAAGGTTAAGTGAAAGAAACCATTTTGCTGCATTTCTACAGCACAATTGTTAAACACTGTACTGAAGGGTTGTTTTCCCTGGTACAAAAACATCCATAAGTCACTTAGCATTGACAGTGACATCACACTTGGATAATCTTTAAGGAGCAACAAAAAGCACGCATTTTTCAACAGTTTTCTGCTAAGAAACTACTTCTGAGGTTTAGAAAGGCCCAGGGAAATCTCTCTGGAAGGTGGACAGATTTAACAGCACATTCCTAAACACTGAATGAATTCCTAAATACATTAGCATTTCTATAACAGTTTCTGTGAAGAATTCTCTCTCTGTACATTAATGCAGTTATGTGGAAGTCAGAAGCAGCAGTACAATAAAACTGCTGAAACTGCAATTGCAGCTCTTTAAAAGCACATATATAAACAAACTGATTATAACAAGAAAACAGCAAATGCTCTGATAATTCACTGTTGTCAGGTGAAGATTCCACTAAACTCCCTCTAACAGAGAACAAACGAATGGGTACACCTGTCACTCATTCCACTGGAATTACCTGTTTTATGAAGTGCTAGTAAACTGTCACATCTCAGCAGTCAAAGGTCTGCTCTTTTTACAACATCCTGAGCACATGCTCCCATCTCTCCCAGAAAAATCAATATCATTACCATCCCTGCTTCTTTCAAATGATTACAGGCTACCTGCTGTATTCTGCTTTATAACTACATGAATATAGTGAATACATAGAGCTGCAGCTTAACATCTGAAATCCTATTCAAAGAAAAAACAGTTTATAACTGGCCTAAGAAAAAAGCACATGAAATCGAGCAGTCTTCCTTTTTTTCCCCTGTTATTTCCCAGTCCTAAATAGGATTTGCACGTGAAACATTTAAACCAAGATCACAAACAAAATCAAAGACTGAAAGCATTATTGGAAGTGACTTGTTAACACTGTAAGCCTACAGATAATAGCTGAACTTGCTGAGATGCATAATTTGGTCAATACTTCTCATTTGGTTTAATGAAACATGATGGATAGCCAAATGAGAGACAATCTTACTTTAACATCCTAAGTCAAGCAAGTATCCCACTATAAAAGAGCAAAACATTTCAGCACAAGAAGATATTTCAACAAGGCATGCATCTCTTCATACAAGTGCAGGTGCTGTAGGAAGCAGACATGACCTTTATATAGTCTTTGAAATCCAGAACTTTTCTGCCAATTCCCTGAAGACAAAATATGAAAATACTTAAACCAAAAGAAAAAAAAAAAAAAGAAATCTTACGGCTTGAAATGCAGTAAGCCAGCCTGCAGTTGATCTTCCTGAACAGTTGCTTGTTGATTGGCCAAAGTATAAGTGTAAAGAGTTGAATGAAGTTAATGATCAGTCCTGACACTATAAATATGTAGCAGATCAGAAGGTGGCAAATGAATTGCGACTTCAGAAAGCCAACGATGTCCATGATTTGCTGAGAAAGCAAGAGGATACCTTCAGACACAAAATTCAGAAGACAACCTGCAAAACCAAACAGTATCAGCAGTTACAGAGTGCATTCATTTCTACAGACAGACTTAAAACAAACTTCATGCTTACACTTAAATTAAAGTCTATTGTAGGAAAAGACCTGATGTCAGTATTTGCAAAAGTAACAACATAAAGAGAATAGTGTATTTGTGAACCAATTTACATTTGGCTTTGGAAACAAATTCTTAAATTTCAATCTTAACTCTGCAAAACCTGTGAGCATATGATTCTACTCCATGGACTACAATACTCTTCTATAACATTTTCATTGTTAAAATATAAGCAAATATTTTGGTTTGACCTAATGACAGTTTTGATATGAACTTCTATTTTTATTTAAATCGTCTGTACTTCATGAGACATACACTGTCACATCTGTCATCTTCAAGAGCAGCTCCAAAGTAAATGCAAGCTTTAGAGCTTGGTTAGGTGATGTGCTTTTCTCTACAAACTATGATCCCCAAACAAGAGGTAGCAGCCCCTTAATTCTAGCTTTATTGTCTTCTTCCCCTCTCATACTCAAATAACAGTCGATTTTGGCAAGAGAATAAAAGCTTGGCTATGCACAATACATACACAATTTGTTCAATTATTCCTTGACACTGATTCTGTCAGTTATAATCCATAAACCCAGAAATGAAATATCAGTAACAGTACAAACTCGCGACCCAGAAGTGTTTCCAGAAAGGAATCAATTCTCAGGATACTTATGAAATGTTTGTATAATTTTGGAAAGGTCCAGTCCAATCTTAGCAATTGAGCATTCAGAGGAAACGTCCTCTGCAAAGTATTCTGACCTATCAAATATTGTATTGACCTCCCCCCGCCATCGCTACCACCACTGCTAGAATGAACACACCTTGCAGTAAACACAACCCCTTATTCTGAACACAGTCAGACAGGAGGTGCTTCTGCCATCCTGTTCTACTCCTCCACTGTTCCCCCTCTGAGGCATGGAAGAGTTTTCCCAGGGAGGAAGCCCTGGGACAGTATTTCTGAATGTGCCAGTCACATGCACTAACCAAACAGCAGCTGTCAGCAGCCTAGGGAATTAACTGCTGAAAAAAATCTTTATGCCTATCCTTTTAGTTTATATGAGACCCCATTATGTGAGGCACTGAGTCTAGATCAGTGACCTGAAACATTTCTTTTACTGCTCTTTGCTGACTCTGCTCGCCACAGCAAAGAGCACACACAAGAATTGCTGCAGAACCTTCGGAAGTTATTTAGCCAGTTTTTCAACCGCAAGGAAGATGAGGAAAAATTTAAGAAAGATAATCTGTATTGTTGCATAATTTATATAAAGAGTTTATGGAAGTCCCAAGCCTATTATTAGAAGACAAAATGTGCCCTTTTGTTCCCTTTATCTTGCTGTACTATTCAGTACCACAGCTGACACCAGCTGTAGCTCAGGATGACAGAACAGGCCTCTATTCATTGTAGTAACCACTGTCATGATACTTGCAAAAAGCTTTTCCAGCTTTAACAAGCCTTCCTATTAAAGATATGATTCTTAGGGTGGCAGACAATTTACTAGCTTGGGCTTTGACCAAAGGCTTTGTTTTTGAAGGCTAAGCAGAATGAGAAATGTTGTCTAGTAGGAACCACTGTTGTGTTTCTTCTCTAATCGGTCCAGTGAACACTCAGAAGACAAAGCCAAAAAATTAAAAAGGCAACAACTTTCTTTAAAATAGTCAGAACAGAAGCAACCAGCTACTTGCAAGTGGATGGTTTCAAAGACTCTACAGTGTCCAAAACCCTGATGACTGAGTTTATCCTACTGTCCTTGGCTAAAAATGATGAGAAAGTTTTTTTGTGCTAGTCTGCCTGTTTAATTCTATCCCACAGAATCACTCTAAGGTAATTCCCAGAGATCAGTAAGCCAGGGGATGAAACATAAAAACAGCAGCCACAAATAAAGACCAGAGCACTGCTTATTTAGTGAAGACATGAAAACTCACTATTTGATATAATCAACATAAATCTACTGTAGAAATCAGATGACAGACTTAGTAACAAAAATAATTAGTCCTTTTGTCCACCAATTAATCCAGTATTTTTTGTTATCTTTTTGTTACAACAGATACCAAACTTTATTAAAACATTACGTTTATATGAATCATTTACTTCCCGCTGTGTTTTAAAAATAAAACTTCACAGAAATAAAATAAACAAATACGAGATAACCCTGATAAAACATAATTATTGCCTTATGATTTTATTAAGCCACAATGGAATGTCTGAAAGTAATTAATTCCTCACTTTCCTACTTCAGTCATCAAACTTCTATTCGATAAAGCTTCAGAGAGCTGTTTTAAGGCTTAAGCAGTACCATCCAAAGGCATCTAACCTAACTTGCTTGCAAAAGGAACAAGAAATGAGAGACACTGCTTAAATTCTTTATTTTCCCAAAAAGTGGGAACTACACAGAGAAATTTTGTCTTTTGACTACCTATAAAATATGCAACCTAAACATTGTATATGGAACGGTAGGTAAGTTTGTTTCTCAGACATAAACTCGTAAGATTTTTTTATTTACTGTTTTCATTACCCAAACTCTAAGAATGCAATTTATTCTTGGTACAAGTAACAAAAAGAATCAGTTCTGATCTTATGAATGAGGTCTAGAAACATGCATTTAAGAGCCCACTGGAACACCTTACACTCTGTCTTTCTAACAGTCCTCTGGGGTAACATCAACATAACACCAGTTTAAGTGATAAAAGAGTCAGGTCTTTAATTCTTAATCCATGATGGTGGTTTAATAAATTAGTGATTTCTTTATAGATAATGACTGAAAATTACAGCAATCTTTTGAAAACAAAAGGGCCAATCAATGCATTTTCTCAGAAGCTATTAAGATCAAAATGCTGCCAAGAAGCTCTCTTCTATCAAACACCCCTTAATTAGGAGAAAATGGCTAGCTAGAGAATCTAATCCAGACAAGGACATTCTTTATAACTGTTTTCCTTTGGATACAGAACAGAAGAGTCAAACCTCAAATGTCTGTTTAGGGACTAAGTCAGCAAGCATCTATTCAGGTGACTAGGAGGTCACATGTTCAAGTTTAAAAGCAAATTACATGACTATTCATTCTAACTCTTTTTCCTCCAACTTTCATTCTTCAGCAAGATCCACTGTGTTTTCTGCTTCAACTACTCTCAGCATTTCCTTCTGCTTAGATTAACTGACCAGGACATCATAGAAGTGATATGCCCAGTCAAGAACTCTATGCCAGCAGAGGCTGCTGCCACTGAACAGTCCTACTGCATACTTCCAAGTCAGTAAGTGTTTTGAGACAACAACTAGAGATTTCACAAAGAACACAACTGTTTGCACTTTTAGAGAAAACACACAAATGAAATAAAGAAGTGTCACCCACTGTGTCCAAAGTTCATGTAGTATATAGAGTTACTGGAGTGTGGAAAGCAACACGGTATGTATCTGACAGCATCTAGACTGAGCTGGTATCCACTTAGAAAGAGAGGCAAGTCAGCACTCTACCTCTTTTTTTTTCCCAGTATATATTTCAAGCTTACATGAAAATTTTCACTTTTAACTAGTCTTTGATTCAGTCCTGCAATGCTTTGCTGCAAGTTAAAAAACAACCAACTTGTTGATGATAATGATGATGCCTATTCTTGCATTTTGTCACCTAAACCCAACTCTTGGATGGATGAGTTACAAAGAGTATTACGAAAATATGCTCAGGTCAGATTAAGCAGTTTCAGTAGTGCCTTTTAAGTCAGTATCAGTTGCCACCAAAACCCCTGTATTTGGCACTGGTGAGGCCACAATTGAGTACTGTATCCACTTCTGAGCCCCCCACTGCAAGGACACTGAGGTGCTGGAGCACATCCAGAGAAGGACAATGGAGCTGGCGAAGGGTCAGGAGCCCAAGTCCTGTGAGGAGCAGTTGTGGGAGCTGAGGGTGTTTAGCCTGGAGAAAAGGAGACTCAGGGGTGACCTCATTGCTGTCTATATCTCCCTAAAGAAGGGTGTAACCAGGTGGGGCCAGCCTCTTCTCCCAGGCAACCAGAGACAGGACAGGAAGACGCAGTCCTCAGCTGTGCGAGGGGAGGTTCAGGTTGGACACCACGAGGAATTTCTTTACAGAAGGGGTGATTAGACATTAGAATGGACTGCCCAGAGAGATAGTGGAATCACTGACCCTGGAGGTATTTAAAGGAAAGACTGGACCTGGCACTCAGTGCCATGGTCTGGCTGACATGGTGGTGTCCTGTCACAGATTGGACTCGATCTCTGAGATGGACTGCCCAGAGAGATAGTGGAATCACTGACCCTGGAGGTATTTAAAGGAAAGACTGGACCTGGCACTCAGTGCCATGGTCTGGTTGACATGGTGGTGTTCTGTCACAGATTGGACTCGATCTCCGAATTCTTTTCCAACCTCACTGATTCCATGACAAGAGCACAGACAGTAGCACTGCACATACATCAGAGTGTATTTTAACAGTGCAGCTGTATGTGAAATACATACACAAAGCAAGTCACAGGAAGCCCCTGTGCTCTTCTCTTTCTAACAATGAGCACCAAGCTAGCAAAAGTCAGGTTGCAACCACGTGTGTATTCATCTACAAGGAGACTGTATCTGTACACGCCACACCAAAAAAATCCCCAAATCTGGAGGAAGAATTATCTATTTGCCTCATGCTTAATTAGGGCTTGAATCCCTTTCCACCTCCCCCAAAGGCAACCACTAGAGCATTTTTTCACTGCCCTTCTTTGTCATCAGCTGATGATAAATTATATTCAACTTCTCTAAGTAGAGTCTGTTTTGACGATGATGGTAACTGGTGAACGACCCTGCTGTCCTTACCTCAATGCACAAACTTTTCTGTCCTATCTTCTTCCCTTGTCCTGCTGAGGAAGGGGAGTGAGGGAATAATTTGCTGTAAACCTGGAAGTCAGGCAAGGTCAACCCGCCACAATTTCTCCAAAAAGTCCCAAACTTGGGAATAACTTGAGCA